GAAACTTGCAGGTTTGAAATTTCATTCTGTTATGTTTCGAACGGTGTAGGTCACGCCAGTTCACTCCGACATCTCCAATTCACTTTATTTTTTATTAGTGCCTAGTGTAATATCAGAGTATTCGGCCTGGTACCGGCGCAATTTGGCTCCGAAAAAGCTGAAACTTGCGGGTTTGGAATTTCATTCTGCAATGTTTCGAACGGTGTAGGTCACGCCAGTTCACTCCGACATCTCCAATTCACTTTATTTTTTATTAGTGCCTAGTGTAATATCAGAGCGTTCGGCTTGGTACCGGCGCAATTTGGCTCCAAAAAAGCTGAAACTTGCAGGTTTGAAATTTCATTCTGTTATGTTTCGAACGGTGTAGGTCACGCCAGTTCACTCCGACATCTCCAATTCACTTTATTTTTTATTAGTGCCTAGTGTAATATCAGAGTATTCGGCCTGGTACCGGCGCAATTTGGCTCCGAAAAAGCTGAAACTTGCGGGTTTGAAATTTCATTCTGTTATGTTTCGAACGGTGTAGGTCACGCCAGTTCACTCCGACATCTCCAATTCACTTTATTTTTTATTAGTGCCTAGTGTAATATCAGAGCGTTCGGCTTGGTACCGGCGCAATTTGGCTCCGAAAAAGCTGAAACTTGCGGGTTTCAAATTTCATTCTGTTATGTTTCGAACGGTGTAGGTCACGCCAGTTCACTCCGACATCTCCAATTCACTTTATTTTTTTTAGTGCCTAGTGTAATATCAGAGTATTCGGCCTGGTACCGGCGCAATTTGGCTCCGAAAAAGCTGAAACTTGCGGGTTTGAAATTTCATTCTGTTATGTTTCGAACGGTGTAGGTCACGCCAGTTCACTCCGACATCTCCAATTCACTTTATTTTTTATTAGTGCCTAGTGTAATATCAGAGTATTCGGCCTGGTACCGGCGCAATTTGGCTCCGAAAAAGCTGAAACTTGCGGGTTTCAAATTTCATTCTGTTATGTTTCGAACGGTGTAGGTCACGCCAGTTCACTCCGACATCTCCAATTCACTTTATTTTTTATTAGTGCCTAGTGTAATATCAGAGTATTCGGCCTGGTACCGGCGCAATTTGGCTCCGAAAAAGCTGAAACTTGCGGGTTTCAAATTTCATTCTGTTATGTTTCGAACGGTGTAGGTCACGCCAGTTCACTCCGACATCTCCAATTCACTTTATTTTTTATTAGTGCCTAGTGTAATATCAGAGTATTCGGCCTGGTACCGGCGCAATTTGGCTCCGAAAAAGCTGAAACTTGCGGGTTTCAAATTTCATTCTGTTATGTTTCGAACGGTGTAGGTCACGCCAGTTCACTCCGACATCTCCAATTCACTTTATTTTTTATTAGTGCCTAGTGTAATATCAGAGTATTCGGCCTGGTACCGGCGCAATTTGGCTCCAAAAAAGCTGAAACTTGCGGGTTTCAAATTTCATTCTGCAATGTTTCGAATGGTATAGGTCACGCCAGTTCACTCCGACATCTCCAATTCACTTTATTTTTTATTAGTGCCTAGTGTAATATCAGAGTATTCGGCCTGGTACCGGCGCAATTTGGCTCCGAAAAAGCTGAAACTTGCGGGTTTGAAATTTCATTCTGTTATGTTTCGAACGGTGTAGGTCACGCCAGTTCACTCCGACATCTCCAATTCACTTTATTTTTTTTAATGCCTAGTGTAATATCAGAGTATTCGGCCTGGTACCGGCGCAATTTGGCTCCGAAAAAGCTGAAACTTGCGGGTTTGAAATTTCATTCTGTTATGTTTCGAGCGGTGTAGGTCACGCCAGTTCACTCCGACATCTCCAATTCACTTTATTTTTTATTAGTGCCTAGTGTAATATCAGAGTATTCGGCCTGGTACCGGCGCAATTTGGCTCCGAAAAAGCTGAAACTTGCGGGTTTCAAATTTCATTCTGTTATGTTTCGAACGGTGTAGCTCACGCCAGTTCACTCCGACATCTCCAATTCACTTTATTTTTTATTAGTGCCTAGTGTAATATCAGAGTATTCGGCCTGGTACCGGCGCAATTTGGCTCCGAAAAAGCTGAAACTTGCGGGTTTCAAATTTCATTCTGCAGTGTTTCGAATGGTATAGGTCACGCCAGTTCACTCCGACATCTCCAATTCACTTTATTTTTTATTAGTGCCTAGTGTAATATCAGAGTATTCGGCCTGGTACCGGCGCAATTTGGCTCCGAAAAAGCTGAAACCTGCGGGTTTCAAATTTCATTCGTTATGTTTCGAACGGTGTAGGTCACGCCAGTTCACTCCGACATCTCCAATTCACTTTATTTTTTATTAGTGCCTAGTGTAATATCAGAGTATTCGGCCTGGTACCGGCGCAATTTGGCTCCGAAAAAGCTGAAACTTGCGGGTTTCAAATTTCATTCTGCAATGTTTCGAATGGTATAGGTCACGCCAGTTCACTCCGACATCTCCAATTCACTTTATTTTTTATTAGTGCCTAGTGTAATATCAGAGTATTCGGCCTGGTACCGGCGCAATTTGGCTCCGAAAAAGCTGAAACTTGCGGGTTTGGAATTTCATTCTGCAATGTTTCGAACGGTGTAGGTCACGCCAGTTCACTCCGACATCTCCAATTCACTTTATTTTTTATTAGTGCCTAGTGTAATATCAGAGTGTTCGGCTTGGTACCGGCGCAATTTGGCTCCAAAAAAGCTGAAACTTGCAGGTTTGAAATTTCATTCTGTTATGTTTCGAACGGTGTAGGTCACGCCAGTTCACTCCGACATCTCCAATTCACTTTATTTTTTATTAGTGCCTAGTGTAATATCAGAGTATTCGGCCTGGTACCGGCGCAATTTGGCTCCGAAAAAGCTGAAACTTGCGGGTTTGAAATTTCATTCTGTTATGTTTCGAACGGTGTAGGTCACGTCAGTTCACTCCGACATCTCCAATTCACTTTATTTTTTATTAGTGCCTAGTGTAATATCAGAGTATTCGGCCTGGTACCGGCGCAATTTGGCTCCAAAAAAGCTGAAACTTGCGGGTTTGAAATTTCATTCTGTTATGTTTCGAACGGTGTAGGTCACGCCAGTTCACTCCGACATCTCCAATTCACTTTATTTTTTATTAGTGCCTAGTGTAATATCAGAGTGTTCGGCCTGGTACCGGCGCAATTTGGCTCCAAAAAAGCTGAAACTTGCGGGTTTCAAATTTCATTCTGTTATGTTTCGAACGGTGTAGGTCACGCCAGTTCACTCCGACATCTCCAATTCACTTTATTTTTTATTAGTGCCTAGTGTAATATCAGAGTATTCGGCCTGGTACCGGCGCAATTTGGCTCCAAAAAAGCTGAAACTTGCGGGTTTGAAATTTCATTCTGTTATGTTTCGAACGGTGTAGGTCACGTCAGTTCGCTCCGACATCTCCAATTCACCTTATTTTTTTTAATGCCTAGTGTAATATCAGAGTGTTCGGCTTGGTACCGGCGTAATTTGGCTCCAAAAAAGCTGAAACTTGCAGGTTTGAAATTTCATTCTGTTATGTTTCGAACGGTGTAGGTCACGCCAGTTCACTCCGATATCTCCAATTCACTTTATTTTTTTTTAATGCCTAGTGTAATATCAGAGTGTTCGGCTTGGTACCGGCGCAATTTGGCTCCAAAAAAGCTGAAACTTGCGGGTTTGAAATTTCATTCTGTTATGTTTCGAACGGTGTAGGTCACGCCAGTTCACTCCGACATCTCCAATTCACTTTATTTTTTATTAGTGCCTAGTGTAATATCAGAGTATTCGGCCTGGTACCGGCGCAATTTGGCTCCAAAAAAGCTGAAACTTGCGTGTTTGAAATTTCATTCTGTTATGTTTCGAACGGTGTAGGTCACGTCAGTTCGCTCCGACATCTCCAATTCACTTTATTTTTTTTTAATGCCTAGTGTAATATCAGAGTGTTCGGCTTGGTACCGGCGCAATTTGGCTCCAAAAAAGCTGAAACTTGCGGGTTTGAAATTTCATTCTGTTATGTTTCGAACGGTGTAGGTCACGCCAGTTCACTCCGACATCTCCAATTCACTTTATTTTTTATTAGTGCCTAGTGTAATATCAGAGTATTCGGCCTGGTACCGGCGCAATTTGGCTCCGAAAAAGCTGAAACTTGCGGGTTTGAAATTTCATTCTGTTATGTTTCGAACGGTGTAGGTCACGTCAGTTCGCTCCGACATCTCCAATTCACTTTATTTTTTTTTAATGCCTAGTGTAATATCAGAGTGTTCGGCTTGGTACCGGCGTAATTTGGCTCCAAAAAAGCTGAAACTTGCGGGTTTGAAATTTCATTCTGTTATGTTTCGAACGGTGTAGGTCACGCCAGTTCACTCCGACATCTCTAATTCACTTTATTTTTTATTAGTGCCTAGTGTAATATCAGGGCGTTCGGCCTGGTACGGGCGTAATTTGGC